AGAGTTGATAATATATCTAGTCTTGGGGAAATGTTATCTGTTTAACAGAGATAAGAAGTTAAAAATAAACCTTTCATTGCAAATGCTATACACATGGAGCTAGATATTTCTGTGGCCCAAAATTTCTGCTAATTATGCAGATTTTGAAAATTGTGAAAATTTAATCCTTTAAAATCAGTACACATTGAAAGGCATGGTGATTTTGCTAAAATAAAATCTGCAAAATTCACAGAAATTTTGGGTGACAGTAATTTCTAGCTACAATTAAAGAAATTTCTAGCTACAATTCTAAACATTAGTAGCATAATAAAATAAATCATTTCATGAATAATTATTCTATTAAGTACCAACATCTCCAAATATAGCATCCAGAGTTTCGTCTACCACCATGAACAATACTGATAGCTTTTCGTGACATTCTAATTATCATAAAAATAGCATACATGTAAATTCAAAACTACAAAACTAACAGCTTTAATAGTCAGAAGTACTGTAAAAGTGGAATATGTCATTGCTTGCATTATTCAATGCATGAATAAAAAATTTACGAATTTAAAAACTATACTGACTTAAAAACTAATTATAGACCACTGGAAGTGAGAATTGGAAATGAATTTCATTAATTTTATATACGATATCTGCCCAGATGTCATAATTGGCTGCCATTTTCGTTGGCAAGTTTGTTAAGGAAGTCGGCAATGAATGCAAGAAGAAAATGCCTCACTTACCTGCTGTAGCTTTATCAAAAGCTAAAATGTGCTTGTTATAAGAAAAAAGATCTGCCTTTGATGTGGTCCAATTTGCCCCAGAATTCTCAATACAGGTTTGTTTTCATGCCAGCCCGTTTGTTCTCCATTAAAAGTTGTCAACCAAATGGCAGCTGAATTTATTGCATCCTTAACCACACCTTGCGACCATGAAAACCTCTAATAATCTTCCTATGTAATCAATTTTTACTGCTAGTGGTCTATAATTATACACAGCTTACAGCTCAACCTTGTACCTACTTGAGCTCCTAGTCTCCTACTACACATCTAAGCAAAAACTCATGAGCAACCTCTTGTGATCCAATTCGCTGGCAAGGTATAAAATGCCTATAAAAAAATTAATATATAAAACAGCAGACATTTATAATAAATTTATCATGTACTTATCAATATCAAGCTCCACTATCCCAGTACAGGTCATAATGGGGCATAGTTGGAGTTTCAAATTAATTAAGTAATTAAATCACTACCTCTGGGGCCGTTCCCTTCAGTCAAATCCCCTACTAAATTTAAGGACATTAAACAACCACTCAACTGCTACTGAATTCAGCTCTGCTGGGTAAACTTAGCATTTTTGAAACGTAACTTGGTCAAACTAGCGAAGTCTTCCTATAGACTTGTTGGGTATGGGGCGCCGTCATGTTTCAAAATTATCGATAAAATAACACAGTAGAGAAGCTCACAGAATACGGAAATTGAGGTTCATGATCAATAGATCGATAGATTGATTGATCAATCCATCGATCTATCTATTGATCAATCCATTAAGCCTAATTCTAGTACGC